CGAATGACAGCCTGTCCCATTTTTGCATTTGCAGTTCCTGTAGAGAGGCAAAATGAAGTTTTCTCTTTATGTCATTTGATCTGAGAGATGGGGGTTTTAGTGAAGGCTTTTGGAAGGACTCAAAGGGAGAGAGTGCTGGCATCAGTCCAAGGGAGATGGATTAAAGAGAGGAGATTGGTGGAGCGCTGAAAGGAGAAATAAATTAATTTTTTGCACCAAGTGCGATAGCCAGCTCTTCCCACACTATGGCTGCTGGCACTGATGCTGCTTATTGAGCCTGCCCACTTGCTTTGGGTCACCCTTCCATCTTTAAATAGTGCACTTATTTAATTTGAAGAAAGTGCTTGCAATCAATAAAAAGAGATCCTTTTATCTTCCTCATCAATCTCTTATTAATGAACATGCACTTTTTTTCTTGTTAGCTTCTTGGTTACGGTGCTTTTAATTTCTCAATGTATGGGGGAAAAAAGGGAATGTGATCGAACATATGATGGAACAATTAATGCCATATATTGCTGCTTGTGTCTTCTGAAGAATTGATGTGGTCTTAAAAAAACAACAATGGCCTGGGGGGTGACCACTTGCCCTGTGGTCCTATGAGCGTCCTTTCTTAAGCTGCGACCCAGTAGACCTGAAAATTGCACATGACCGCCTGTGGAGGCGGTTACATTCCTCATGTCCCATTAGCTGCAAGAGCAGATGATCCTTAGAGAATTATGTGGATTGCTGACATTTTATTTAAAGCAGTTAGATATTCAGAATACAGTGATTTCCATGAAAACGCCAGGCCTAATTTTTCCAAAAACTTCAGCACATTTAGGTGTGATTATGATAGGAGCAAGGGGCCAGCTGAGTGAAATGGCACTATTTGCTCTAATTTGCTGGGTACTGTCAGTTATGGTTATTCATCTGCTCGTGTTTCATTCACATCTTTATGGCTGGCCATAGAGGGTGTTCATCCACAGCAAGGTAATTCAAATTCAGCCTCCTTTTAGGGCTTGTAAAACTGAAGAAGCAGATACATTTTCTTCATCCCCATCTCAGGCTGAAAGTTAATGCCTTGTGTTTCTTTCTCAGTCTTGTGGGAATGGAACTTAGCAAAATAACGCCTGATTCTTTACCAAAATTCTCCACAAAATAAAATTACAGTTTCATAAGCCTGTGTGTTTCAATCTGCCACTTACACCTGGCAAGAGTCCAAATCAGTCACACATTAGCTTCATTAGTCTAGAATCATACCACTTTTTCCTGTAAGCCGAAGCGATCCGAGCTGTATAATAATCAGAAATAAATCTCTGCATTAGAACCTGACCTAGCTGCAAACATGCAAGTAACCTCCTTCCTTTTTGTTCTGCACTGGTCACTGAAGGGCTACTGCAGTAAAATTTTGTTACCTTCAGGTCCACGCTGCCTCTTGTTTTCTCCCAGGTTTCCCTTTCTACTAACCAGCTGCTGCTCTTTTCCAAACCATTCATCTCCCCTGCCTGGGCCATAACCCATGGATAAGCTGGGCATGCCAGTGCCAGTACAGAAATTCTAAAGGCCCCAACCTGCAGCTGCCGGAAGGGAATGCCTACGTTTCTATGGGGCAGCGGAGACCCCAGCCAGCAGCACATCCCAGTTAGGCTGACCCGGCCCTGCCTTCAGCCACCTGTGGAGCAGTGCCAGAGAGGCACCGGCTGGTGGGTGATGCGGTATAGCATCCCTCCCTGCCCCTCCTGCGGTAAGGGAACAGCGGAGCACAGCGGGAACGCCACGGCTGGGGCGTAATATGCTTCCGCGGGCTCCCCGCGGGGAAAGAGGAGGAGGAGGAGAAGGAGGAGGTCTGAGCGGAGCTGGCGGCGCGGTGCTGGGGCAGGTCCGGAGGTGCCGCGGGGAATGATCGTGCGGCAGCTAAGGAGTCTGCAGCCGGGCAGGGAGCCAGGGCCTCGCGGAGATGCTGCGGCCGCCGAGGCGGGGAGCAAGGAGAAGCGCGGGGAGGAGCAGCAGAAGCCGCCCCGGCTGTCCTCGTTAGGCACAGTATCCCCGGCAGGGCGAGGAGGGAGAGATGCAGCCGCATGAAGGGAGCTCTAGAATGTCCCCACCGCGCTCCCGGGGCTGCGCACACAGCCGGGCCGACCGAGGTCAGCAGCGGTGATGGGCTGACATCCCTCCATCCACCTGCACAGCGTTATCTGTGGAGGCTGTGACTTCCAAGGAAAGTGCAGATCTCCATGTGTGTTTCCATTCACCTCAGCAGCAGAAAGATGTGAGCAAATTATTACAGGAGAATATAAGAGGAGGGTTAGTTAGCCCAGAAGGCCAGCACAGGGAATGTGTACCTGACAGTGGTATAAAGGTAACACAAATACCAGCTTAAAGAGGCAGCATCAGGGAAAAGCTTCTCACTGGAAGTAAGTAGATTAGAAAATAAGGCATGAATGAAGATGTCAGGACACTTTAAAAAACTTGCATCAAGCAATCAGCTGCTGGTTCTCAGCTTTGAAAAGCAACTCTTCATCTTCACACTTGAGCAGTAACCTGTGTGTGTGGAAGTACATCTCCCTCCCAGATTAATCACTCAATCCAAGAAAGGATTCAGTCTTCCATAGGCATCTTGCTTGTGTTTGTACCCACAGGCCATCACTGTAGACACAACAAGGCTGCTCTGATGTTCCCTCTTCTATGGCTGTGATGTTGTTACTGCTGTTTGAAATACGTTTTGAGATACTTGAAAGAGACTGTGCTCATGCAAAATGTTTTCAGCTAAGTAGCACATGTGCCTGATAATAAAAGGAGATGTGTAACTGTGCAGTGCAAGCTGTTCATTCTGTCTCAGGCTACTGATCACATCATTAACCTGAGGACCAGACACTTCAGCAGTAATGTAGACTTGATTGTATGATGATTTATCTTTTTACATTCTTCCAGGGACTGTTATCACTGCTTTAAGGTAAATTCTTGAATGTAGCATCATGATTACTTCAGTTGGCTACTGCAGTCTCACAGGAAGCTGTGTGATCAGGCATCCATCAATTAGTCCTTGACAGGAGAGTCTGTGAAAACAGTATGGGAATCGTTGAGACTTTGACAAACCCTTTTTAATGTGAATGTTATTAATGTTCCATTGGAAGTCTTTGTGAATGGGAGGATTATGAGGCAGAGAGAAGAGATGAGTAGAGACAGGCATCTTTTTAGTCACTACCAAAAATATACCATTACAAATGAAATTCCATTTTGGATACCATACTGACAAAAAATAAAATAAAATAAAAAATTAGTTCAGGGCAGCTTGAAGCATTTGATTCTTTGTTTCATTATGTATCCTGCAATCATTTACACTAGGGTAGCAGGGGTGTTCCTATTGCTAAGCCTTTGGTGCAGACATTTTTGCTGAGGAAATTGAGCTGAAAAATCTCTCTCCCTTTAGACATATTGTCTCACAGGTGCACTTCTCTGTTGGAGACAGGAGGGGTAGGGAATAAGGGCAGTTCCAGGCTTTGTTACCTGCCTTACTCTGTGCTCTTGGAGATGGGAGTTAGTGCTAGACTCAGGTGGAGGTGAGGAGTGACAGCCACATTTAGGAACAAAGTGGAAGCCTTGTTAATAACACAGTTCTTTGGGTTTTCACTTTTTTATTTTACTCTAAGGCAGAGTGAGGACATAATTTAGCAGCAGCCGCCTTTCAAGAATTATGTTGGGAAGCTGGCTGTATTGCAAAGGTTTTGCCTTTTTTTGGTTTTGGATGGTTTTGGAAGGGAGGTTAAAAACAGAATATATATATATTTTTTTTAAAATGTAAAACGATGTCTATAAATGAAATGGAAATTTGTCAGAAGTGGGAATTTTTTTACTTTTCTTTTTTATTTTTTGCTGCTTGACCTAATGTGCATTATTCTTAGTGGATCGAACTTACTCAGAGGCGAGGAAAGAAACGCTCTAGGTGTTAGGCGGGGAGAAGCTGTTGCGGGAAAGCGGGCTTCCCCGGGGAGGAATCGGGTGTTGCCAGCCTCGGCGAGCCCCGCGCAGCCCGGCGCGCTCCCACCGACACCCGTCCTCCCCCGCCGGTGTCTGCCCTCCTCCGACCGGCTGGAAAGAGAGAGCGGGCGGCAGCGCACAACTCCTGCCCGCTCCCTCCCTTTGATTTGATGGCCTTTATTCTTCCTAATTGGATAAAATAGGAAGTCACTGACAGTCCTGCGTTGCTGGGTGCACTGATTTCCCTCAGACCAGCCCTGCAGAGGGCGGGGGGTGGGGACGGGAGGAAGGAGTGAGCCTGTACATCAGAGAAACAGGCTGCGAGGGGGCTGGGGGAGCGGGGCGGGGGGGAAGGAGGAAAGTGAATGAGCTCTCAAGAAGGACAAAGAGGGAGGGGAGAGAAAGGGAGTTACCATCGCCTTGGCATCGCTCTTCCTTTCAAACCTCTGTGTAATGATATTGTTTGCAGTGATGCTCAGACAGCGAGCACCTGCTGCTCTGTAATGATTCAGCCTCTTTCAGCCGCCGCTGTAACGCGACAGGATGCTGCTGCTACTGTCACTTCTGCCGCTGCCGCTGTTGTTACAGATTTTGCTTTTGCTCCTTCTACCGCATGACAATTGTTTTCCTCGCCTAAGCAGATACCAGCCTCAGATGCTCAAGGTGAGAGTCTTGCCTTTCGCTCTGGGCTATTGGTTCACTTAATCCGGTCAATTTGTTCGCTGCTCGTGGTTGTCTTCCTCCCCACCCTCCTTCCCCCTGTTTTGTTTTGTTTTGCTTGCTTTCGGGGGGACGCTTCTTCCCTCACTCAGAAAAGCTGGAATTGCTTGAGAGGCATATAAGGAATTATAAAAGTGCCCAGGAAACAAGAGCGCAGTGACTGCAGAGCTGCCTTTGGCTTCAGCAAGGCAGCGTGAGCAGTAGAGGGCTTGGGCAGGGGGTGGGAGGGTCTCCTTTTTCCCTTGCGTCCCTCTTCTCCCTGTTCAGATGATGTTGCTGAGCTCGGACCTTTCTTTGACTCCTGCCCTGTGATTTTTGCTGAGCGCTGTGACTGTTACTCCATCTCTTTTTGTCTGTATTTCACAGTAATGGACTGTGATAGAGTTAAGGCCTTTTGGAGGTGAGCTGTGTCAGAGCTCAACCATGTCTGAAGTAGCCACCGAGACTTTCCCCAGCCCTTCTGCTCAGTTGAGCCCTGATGCATCCCTTGATGGGCTCCCGGCTGAGGAGAACATGCCGGGGCCTCACAGAGAGGACAGCAGGGTCCCAGGGGTGGCAGGCCTGGCCGCGACCTGCTGTGTGTGCCTGGAGGCAGAGCGACTGAAGGGCTGCCTCAACTCCGAGAAGATCTGCATTGCCCCTATCCTGGCTTGCCTGCTCAGCCTCTGCCTCTGCATTGCTGGCCTCAAGTGGGTCTTTGTGGACAAGATTTTTGAGTATGACTCTCCTACACACCTTGACCCTGGGAGGATAGGACAAGACCCAAGGAGCACTGTGGATCCTACAGCTCTGTCTGCCTGGGTGCCTTCAGAGGTGTATGCCTCACCCTTCCCCATACCTAGCCTTGAAAGCAAGGCTGAAGTGACAGTGCAAACTGACAGTTCGCTCGTGCCCTCCAGACCCTTCCTTCAGCCTTCTCTCTACAACCGCATCCTAGATGTTGGGTTGTGGTCCTCTGCTGCACCATCACTGTCACCAACTTCCCCGGAGCCTACCAAGGCATCTCAGGCACAAGCAACAGAAACCAGTCTCCAAACTGCTCCAAAACTTTGTAAGTAGAAGCTATGTGTTTCTTTTCGTTTTCCTTTCCACCAAAAAAAAAAAAAAAAAAAAAAAAAAAGCCCCTAACTGCAGCTGTTCTCCCAGGGGGTCATATGACTGACATGTGCTGACTGCTGAGATTGGTACCACATTTCTGAACTCTAGCAAAGTGTGCATAGCAGTGAGCACAGCTTCATCTGGGACCTCTGTAAAGACTTAGTGCCATCTTTTTCTCTGTATCCACCTGTAAGGAGGCATGTGATTTACATCAAGGGTTTACCTGAAATACTATTCCATATGGTCTGTCAGCCTGTTTCTCTTATGAATTTGGTTTGTGTCCTGTACTGGGTCTTCCATTTGTGTTCATTTTCTTTGCCTTGCTTGCAGAGCATTTCTGCTACCTCCTTCCTGAAGTTCCGCTGTTGGCAGGCATCCCTGTCATCCTGAAGCAATCAGGCAGAAGAGTGGGAAAGAGTGACAGTGTATTTGTAGTTAGAGAATGGGAGTTACTGAGGAAGTGATTAATTTGTGATCTTTCCCTTTCTTTTAAGAGCATAGCACACATTTCTCTGTATCTGTCCCCTTCTCTAGGTGCTGAATCTTGTTGAACATGAGACAATAACTCATTGCTTTCTGTGGGGCATTTCAGAAAAGGGATTCTTGTCCATGCAAAGGGAGTGTGAAACAGTTTTCAAATTAGTCTTTGTTCATCCTTGAAGTGAAAAACATATCCAGGGGTACCTGGATTATTTTCTCAGTAGTGATCATAAAGCATCAGAACACCACATTGTTGAAATGTAATTTCTTTGACATTCCTCATTTTAACCCATCAAGTCTGAAGCAAAGCAAGCCAGCAGTTTCTGAGCTGAATAAAACTGTGCAACTCCAGTAAAAAAAGAAGGTAGCATGCTATTGCGCCAACAGCACAGGGCTGTGGTTTCCTTCAGATAGCTGCAGTGATCAGAGTGTGCAGCTTAGTTCCTTGCAAATTGTCTTGCAGGACATTCTTCTCTCTTGTGCCTTCCCTGTAGTGCCCCAAGATACCCACCTTGTAAGTGTTACCTGCTCAACCTCACCTTGCAAACCCGAAGGCACCATAAGTTCACTTCTGAGTTTAGCCCCACCAAGACTGGACTCAGTATAGATACGTGGCAATTGGACTAGCTAGGACATTTTTGGGCCAGCACCTTTGCAGGTGAAAAAGAGCATGATTACAGTGATTTCAGCAAAGATCCTTCCAGCAGAGAACTAGCATTGATCAACTGACTGTTAGGAATGATTCCAGAATCACAGAAATGAAATTTTAGATATTTGCATAGAATGCCTGCAGGCTTTTGCTTATATAATGGGTGACAGTGGAATACTGGACTAACAGTAATTCATCTGATGGAAATAGTCTGATAGAGAAATATTACTGTGCCAGCTTTTTTTGTGGGAGGTAAAACATCATTTGAATTACTGGGACACTTAACTACCTTTTCAGGTATACAAAACTATGCTCGGTGATATTTTCTTAATCGTTGATGTAGAAAATCTCTTCTGTACTGTGGATATTGTAAGGGGCATCAAGGATATGACAGCTCTTTTTAGTCCAGTCCGTATAGTGACCAGCGAGCACCATCTAGTCAAAATGGCCTCTTTCCTACGTTAGGGAGAAACAACCAAAAGCTGGTTATGTCAAAACAATCCTTGTGAGGCAAGCCTTTCTCAATCACCTAGTAATCTCATTTCATCAGCAAATAAATGAAGAGGAGACAAAAACTCTTTGGAGCAGTTACCAGGAAAAAAAAGCCATTATCTGCTTTCATATCTGCTTACATCTGGAAAGTAAATAGTTGTCCAGAAATCAGGTGGTTGAGTTGGATTTCTTACTGTTGTCTTAATTTTCTTAATATTTTTAAGACAGATAGGAACAGACTGAAAGGAAAGGGAGAACTTGCATCAATTTGAGCTCAGGTTGCACTGAGGGAGAAGGTTGTGTAGCCTGCAGTGAGTCTAACCGTGGTGCGTAATTCTGGCAGTGCAAAGGGCTGAAGCTCTAATAAAACAGAGCTGCAAAAGTGCACTGCAGAAGATCTGCCTAAGAATTAAAGTAAGCATGAAATGAATGATTTGGACAGCTCTAAAAGAACTGTCTTGGGGTTTTTGAAACAGCTGCATTTCAAACACGTTGTTGCATTTTATGTAGAGCAAGATTTGTTGGAGAGGTTGACAGATTGCATCAACGGTAACTTTTTTTTTTTTTTATGAGTGCTTTTGACAGCTATAAAATTTTGAGAGATGGCTTGGAAAGTAGCATCTGTAAATTGAATTGTCCCTTCTTTTGCCTCAGTGTCCTTTTTGCTGTTCCAGGCAGAAGGAGGTAACTTGTTCCCAGAAATTCCCTTTCATACTATAATATTACTTTCTTTTTCAGTGCAGAACTAAAAAAGAACTGATAGATTTCATATTCTGTGGTACTGCTTCCGAACCAAGCCCTTCTGTGAATTTCCAAATCCTTTTCTTCTACTCTCTTTTCTGTCTTACTCAGCATATTCCCCTTAAAGCTGTATCCTTCAAGGTCATCCTCTGTTGAGAGCTAATTGATTCTTCTTTCTCCTGGAGCCTGGGAGAGAAAGCAGAAGAGAGACAATCCTAGTAATTGTGTCTGGTACATTAGATTCAAGACTGGTCTCCCTTCTATTATTATGCTTTGCCCTTTATCAATACAGAAAAAAAATTACTTCCTTTCTAGTTAGTTACCATCTTATATTATAATAGCACGTCTCCTTTACTGAAATAGAAAGGAAAGGTGAATGTTTTAAAGGTGAACATTTTAAAGTTGAGAGTGTCTATGCTAGTGCAATTACTCCAGAGAAGGTTTCTCCGCGTGCAGGATATAGTATTACTCAATAAGCTACAATCTCCCTTCCTTGTGAAGACAAGCACATTGTAAAAATGCTAACATAGTTCAGCAGCTAAATTTTACTTCTGCCTTAGTCATCACCTTCAAATACAGTTCCACCATTTATCTAGGTTAGTGACCAACACGCTTCCTTTGTACTGTCAGATCTGTATTTCAGTAACTACATCCATACATCTGCAAACAAGGCATTCTCCTCTGTACAGATGTTTTCGTGGTCTATTCTTCCCACTAAGTGATTTCTTCCTAAACAAATCCACCTTTCAGATTAGTCTGGAAAGGAGAGGGCTGACTGGCCAGAGTGCTTTAGGTCTGCACGGGAGACATGAGTACGTAGCATTGTGCTCTCAGCATCAGAAGCAGCTCCATTTATGTCTACCTCACATGCAGCTTCTTGTAACACTCTCAAAGCCCTCTGGTCCCTCCAGCTCCTACAGGGCTGCCTTTCTGGGGTGCCAAAGGGCACTTCTGTCCTTTGGCTGTGCCTGAAGAGAAGATGCCCAAGACCTGGGCTGTTCCTGCATTCTTTCCACTTTGGCCTCCCTGGCTCCTTGGGGTGCAGGGGGTTGACGGGTCAGCTACATCTCCATCCCACTACCTCCATGTTCTCTGAGCTTTTCTGGGCCAGCCTGGAAAACGAGGTGAAGAAGAGAAAGCACTGCATGCTGCTGTTAACCAGCCTTGCCTGGGACCACTGTCTTCTCCTTTTGCTAATTTCAGGTGCCTCTTCAGGTGCATTGAACAACCATTAGCAAAAGCTGCTGCTTTCTTATCCTGGGTAGAAAAAATGTTGGAAAAAATTCCACAGTGGACATTTACCTATGAAATGATCTTGACTGTCCTCCAAAGTAGTCCAGTCATGATGGCTGAATTTCTTGTGTCATTTTAGGGTTATGATGGGAAAAAGTCAAAAGAAAACTGGCCTGTCACTTAATTTGATATACTACTGCAAAATCTCCTTGCGAGTTTCTCTCTCTATCTGCCAGTTTCACTTCTTCATTCTCAGTTCTGAGTCCGATGTCCTTTCCTGTACAGCCAGTGATTGCAAAGGTCTGTGTTTTATCTCTGTGGCAAGCTGGAGGGAGCCTTTCCCTCTGGTTTACAGATGTTGCAGCCCAGGGAAAGGTTTCAATTCATGGATGGTGAGGATTTGCCGATAGCAGCTTGTCATGTGTTTGTTCTTTTTTCTCAAAAAGGCCAGTTTTACCCTTGCTCTGCAGTTCGGAGCCCCACTGCAACACTGTAGGGTTAACTCCATGCCTGGCAGCATCTGGCAGCATGAAGGTCATAGAGCTGCAGGTGGAGGTGATGCACAACAGGTTGTTTAGCAGCTTTTCCTGTTTTCACTGTTAGGTAGGACAGCACTGCAAAGGAGGCTGCTTTTTCTCCAGTGCATTAGAACATCTTAGAGCATGTGTTATTCCATATGTGATACAATATTGTTGTTGATTAGCCTCAAACATCTAAATGCCTGCATGAGAAAGCTAAGCTGCCTCTGCTTCCTGGTCAGCATTAAGGAAGAGACCTTGCCTAGGGTGGTTATCACAGTGCGACTTGGAAGAGTCACTCCCTTCCTCCAGTAAGTTTTGGCAATGCAACAATTCCAAGACTTGTCTTGAAAACCGGGACTTTTCTTTGTCAAGCCCTGTGAATTAACAATGTCTTGTCATGAGACAGTTATAATTAATCATGGCCCAGATACCAGACAAGTTCTAAGCCTAACTTTAGAGTGTAATATAGACATACTGATCTCAGTAAGCTCTGAAGACAAAACTAGCCCTCCATTAACATGAAGCAGTAAAGCAAGTGACAATTTACTGAGCCATCCGGTCTTTTTATGCCTCAGACACTTCTTTCTCCACTGTCCCAAAGGTTGTGATGACTTACACGTCCACAGCAGTACGGCAGTAATACCCAAAGTAGGGTGCAGTTGGGCTGATGGGATAAGATGCATAAGATGCTGCAGATTTCAGGGAGTTCACGTCCTTGATTAAGCTTTCCAAAGAGGTAATCAATTTATGCATATTTTCTCTCTCCAGCCCAATCCATCACACTGCCTATAAAACACCTTCAATAAGCACACAGTTTGGCCAGATTAACTTATTACT